CCTGTCCAAGTCACTTCCCCACTGGAGGGTGGCCCTTGACTGATGCCCAGCAAATAAGGAACAGTTTGTGGATAAAGCCCCCTTGTGGGCAGACTGGGGAGAAGGGAGGTTACGCTTTGAGCCTTTCCCCACTTGGGTCTGTTTTTCTATTAAGTATACATTGCAGTGGAGAGAAAAAAAAAAAAAAAAAAACCCACTAGTATGAGATAGGAATTAGGAAACCTTTTTTCTAGCCCCAGCACGCAGCCTATCACAAGCTATCTGAACTTGGACAAACTGCTCCCTCCCTGAGCCTCAGTTTCCCCATCTGTAAAATGGCCTCCGAGTTTCAGCCCTGCTCTAAAAGTATCAGGAATTATTCCTAGGCAAATCAATCTTCTTTGGAACAAGAATCATTACAAGAAGAAAACTCATTATAATGGCAATTAATCCATATTCATCTGTTTGCTACATATTATCTTTAAAACTCTTCTTCATGCTGTTTGAATGCATGCCCAATATCTCAAAGGTTTAGGCTATATATTCCCAGACTGCACTAGGGGCTTCTGGTGTGGGACTGTCTCTCCCCCATCAAACTTTGTGAGCAGGGGCAAAGCCCACAAGATTTCCCTGGAAAAGCAAGAGTCAAAGTGGGGTCAGGACAGACACCAGAAAATATCTTGGAGTCTCTGTCCTAGAAACTGTAAGCCACCTGCTGAGCCTCAAACCCAATTAATTACCACTCTTTTGACCCTGCCAATCCCTCTGTTCTGTAAGACTTCTCTCCTCTCTATTTCTCCCACTTGCTCCCCAGTGATCTAGTTCCCCAGGTCCCACCACTCCTGAATCTCTCCAGCCCACCCCTCCCTGCCGGAACCCCATTCCTGCCTCAATCTTCCCTGCTTCTGCACTCACCAGCCCCCGGGCCAAGGACAGAGAACAGCAACAGCAGCAATAGGGCTGGCGGCAGCTGAAACCCAGACTTGAGTCTAGGCTGGGAGAGGGGCAGAGTATAAGAGATGGGGGGGACTAGCGGGAGAGACTTAGGTAAACACAGAGATGAGGGCAAAAACTGAGATAATGGGTTGGGCTGGGCTGGACACTGGGGCTTGAACAAGGGCAGGGAGTGGGATGGAAGGAGGGGCTGTGATGGGGACTGCAGCAAGGGACGGGGTTGAGCCAGGGCCTTAAGCAAACACTGGGAATGGGGTTGGGACAGGCCCTGGGCTGAGATTTGTGACAGGGGGTGGAACGAGGGCCGAGGCCGGGATGGGGGCCAGGCCAGGGGCAGGGACCGGAAGGGGGTCCTGGATGGCGACCCAGGCAGGGGTTGGGGCCGATTTGGGAAGCGGGGCGAGGGCGGGACTGGGGGCCAAGGCGGGGATCGGGATAGGACGAGGGGCCGGGACAAGGGCTGGGCCATGGCCCGGGGCGGGGGCGGGGCCGGACAGGCCAGCGCGGGGCGCTCGCAGAGCTGACCCGCGGCTCCGCTCCCCACCCCCGGGGGGTGACCTCCGGTGTCCTCACGGGCCCGGAGTAGGGGCCGGGGATCTGGGTGGGAGTTCAGGCCTGGGCGACTCCGGGCTGCGCTGAACCGGCGATAACCAGGCCCCGCGGCGGCGGCCTCGGCTTGACGTCAGCATGACGCCCCGCCCCCCGGCCGGCTCAATTGGTCCCTGTCAGTAAAGCCCGCCCCCGCCCTACTCTATTGGTCTCCAACTTAGTCCTGCCGGGCTTCGAGGACACACAGACTCCGCCCCCGCCCCGCTACCCAAGACCCTGCCTTTCTCACCCAAGCACAGAGCCCGAGGTCCCCTCAGATCCTCACAGCCCCCAACGACCGGCCCACAGATGTCTCAAAGGAAACCTATCCTCACAATCCCAGACCCCCCCGGATGTACGCACAGATCTCCGCAGATCCTACCCAGACACTCGCTCACAGAGATCCCGCAACACACACCCCACTTTTCAGAAGTAAACCCCCTGGGCTCGCCCCCTCGAGGCCCAATGCAAGCTCCTCAGGAGACCGCACCCACCGGGGAAGTGACTAGACCGGCGTTGCCACGGAAACTACTAGGCGTTCCAGTTGCCCTGGTGACCTGTGCCTACTCTCCTGGCCCGGGTTCCGGAGGCGTCAGTCAAGCCCCTCCCTCATCGGCCCTGGACCCCTTGCCCCTACCCACTTCCCCAGGTCATGCCAGAGCTCCTTTGCGAAGTTCTGCAGATAGCCAAGTCCCTTCCCCAGATAGCAGACTTTCAGGCAAGGCATTTCAACACTCAGCGCCTGCAGCTGGGGCACGTCCACAACCAAGAGCTTTCCCTCCCTGAGGATCAACACCTCCCCCTGTCATCCTAAGGCAAGGTCTTGACCTAAGGACTTGTAACAACCAAGCCAAAACCCAGAGGTAGGTAATTTCTCCAACGGCCCTCCCCCTCCTCCCCCTAAGACCTCTGTCTCTCTCCCACCCCTCAGTCCCTTCACATTCTGTACTTCTTGTTGTCGTTTGTTGTTGTTGTTGTTGTTGTTTGAGACAAAGTTTCGCTCTGTCCCCCAGGCTGGAGTGCAGTGGTGCGATCTGGGCTCACTGCAACCTCCACCTCCCAGGTTCAAGTGATTTGCTTGCTTCAGCCTCCCCAGTAGCTGGGACTACAGGCACGGGCCACCATGCCCGGCTAATTTTTGTATTTTTCGTAGAGATGGGGTTTCACCATGTTGGCCAGGCTGGTCTTGAACTCCTGACCTCAAGTGATCCACCCGCCTTGGCCTCCCAAAGTTCTGGGATTACTGGCATGAGCCACCATGCCTGGCCCACATTCTGTACTTTTCATCCTTACTCTCTTCCTCCACCCAATTTCCTCCTCCCCTTCTCTTTCCCCTTCCTCACCTTCCATCCTCTGGTTCTCCACCCTTAGGCCCCTTTACTCTCTAGCTGACTCTGGTCATCTTCCTCCCCATAATCCTACTTCTGCCCCTAATTCCTTTCCCAAACGTCCACTTCAAAAAGGCTCTGATTAGTTTAAGGAGTGATATATCTAGTGTCTCTGGAACATGGGGGGAAAGTAGGGAGCATGGAAATTTAAGGTAGGAATCCTCAGGCTGTGTTGAAAATGATGACAGGCCTTGAATGCCAGGGCCAAGAAATTTGGACTTAATCCTTTAGACTGAGTCATGGAATGTTTTTTGTTTTTTGTTTTTTGAGACGGAGTCTCGCTCTGTGGCCCAGGCTGGAGTGCAGTGGCC